AGGGGAGTTGAACATCAACCCCACCCCAACTGTCCGCTTGAGAATCCTCCACGCTATCCACTAGGCCATCCGATCGTTGTTGCTGGTCACTGCTCCGATCGTTGAAGAAACCATTCCAAGAAGCCGTTCACTCTTGATTACGTGCCACAAGTAAGACCCCATACCCCGACTACTTTTCTCTTCGATTCCGATAGTACCTTTATAGGGTCCCTCCATTCAGCAACTGGTCAAAGTTTCAAGCGGTTTACAGCTCGTAGAGGCTCAAAAACACTCAGTTTCCATGGGTTTCTTTTTCGCTCCTTTTTGGCATTCGGGACCGCTCAGCGAAAATGAAGCCCACTTTTATGGTTCATGGGCAAGGCCCTACAAAGTGCAAAGAACCATTTCGAAAAAGCGGGGCACGCCCTGAACGACCTCCCTTGTTAGACAAAAGCTTATTCCTCCTGACAACCGCCCTCAGCGGGCGGGTCGTGCTTCGAGCATGGTTTTTATTTCAGGAAGTTGTAGTTCAGTACCAGAGCACTCCGGAATTCGGAAAAAAAGGTTAAGGTTGACCAGGAGTCAGCGGTGGATAGGTGATACACGGGTGGTGCGGCTGGGACTTAAAAAGGCTTAGAATAGTTCCAGAGCATTCCAGACGCTGCGAAAAATCTAATGAAGGTCAGAGAGGGGTCGGCGGTTGAAAGAGAGACGCGCCCGAAGTGGGCAGAGCGTGCACCGAGGAGAGCGGGGCCAAAGTCGGCGGCTTATAACTCGGTTCCAGAGCACCTCAGTGAGGATCTACTCATCTCATTGACCCTCATCATTGCTACCTATCAACCACTGGCGATCCGACTGTTTATAGAATGAACACCGTTATGTTTCAGCTTTACCAAGAGCGAGTGATTCCGCTGTTGATGGCCCACTGTCCGCCTAAACTTGATGTGTTTCCACAGATACTTGTCGAAGGAATAGCTTGTGAGTCTTTGAAATTTTTTTTTCATGAGCCCTGCAATGAAAGACATTTTGTTAAAGCCGCCATCATCATTGGATATGATTTCCACGATCAACTTAACAACGACGCTTTTATGATTCACGAATTGAAGGTGGCAATCGAGAAACAGCTACGGGCGGATTTTGAAGTGCTACGGTTAGCTCTGAACTATTTCTGCTTTTCTAATCA